ATGGAGCCAGAACCCATCACGTCCCCGTCGTTGGCTCTGGGTCGCGCTAAGTGTGGGTAATATACCGTGCAGATGTGTCTAATTAATAGTGATAATTTGTAACAAATTAAAGCTATAGCCCTCCCCGAAACTCTTTCCTAGCTACGCCACTGGTTAATATATTCATAAAGATTTATTCCGGTTAAGTAAAGGCCAATGTCCCAGTGACGCGGATCATTATCGTCCGAAGGATTAAGAAAATTCACGTATGTGCAAAAAGAATTGAGCAATTCTTTAGCGTCGCCATCAGAAATTGGCAAATTTAACTGCTGTTCTTTCAGATATATTAAACTTATTAACGTAATATTGAAAAAGGCATCCAAACTCGGACGACTGAAAGCATTTTGGATACGATTCACATAGTCTAATATCATATTGTGTAACTTATCCTTATCATTGTTCAAAATTGACATGGACGTATTATATGCTGCTTCGTCATAGAAAACGGCAAGTTCCACAGTTAAATTTTGTTGCGCATTGCGTACGTGACGTCGCTTTAGTTTAAACATGTCCCAGTGATTAAAATTTGAATCAGCAAAATATTCCATTGATTTTTTAATAACATGAGGTTTGCCAAATGAAAGATTAGATTGTCTTTTAAAATCGTAGAATAAACACATAGGCGTGAAATCGTTCCGCAAAGGCTGTATCTCTAACGTGTTGTTTTCCACAAAAACTAATCCTTCCTGATTTTAAAAAGATATATTTAATTTTTATGTGTCATTGTATATAAGACGAAAAATAATACAGGTCACAAGTAAACACATGAAAATTTTAAAACTGTTTGTTTTTCATGTAATATTACTGACCAATCCATGTTCATGACAAAAGTTGATAACCGCAGAGCTGATGTGATCTTCATGATAATAAAAGCAATGACTTGATACGTTCAATTCAAACAATTTCTCTGTAACGCTTTTCGCATTATATTTCCATTTTCCGAACGCAGGCAATACAATTCGATCACTTCTACGCAGATTCAGTTGAATCAATCGTCCGAAAACTTTCAGTGTTATTGGTATCTGTAAATTGTATGACAATTTAGAGAAAAAACTTGATAATTCTCGAATAACGAGCAACAAATAGAATTATACTGTAAAACGCACGTACCTTTATTGCGCCCGTCGGATTCAATGCCGACAGTAATATTGTTTCAATATTATGTGTAATATGCGCGTACGTTTCATTTCAGTTAAGATTATTATCATCAATTTCAATAAAGAAAACATTTTATTTTTTTAAGTTTTTGTTCAATTTCAAACTAATAAACTATTAATCAAATAATTTATATACACGCACAAGCACTGTCGCGTTCGTTATATTTGTTATGATCACGAAAGAAACACGAACTGGCGTATGAGGAATATCTTTCGTGTGGTGCGACACCTATTGTATATTCTCTCCTTGCTATATGTATATGTATAAATATTTATATTTTTGAAACCTAAAGTTCAGAAGTAATATTTGCGATATTAACGATTGGGAATAGATTTATCAAATGTAATTTATCACTAATATGTATAATATGTAACATTATTCGAAAACGTAAAAGTTTTATTGTGAATAATTTGATTTCTAAAAGTTGATAATTGAAGTTAGTATGAAAATTTGTCGTTTATGCATATCTGTTATGTCTTGTGAGTTGCAATAAAATTCAGAGTCAATAGAAATTAAACGAAGAAAAAGAACAGTTAAAAAAAATTATACATATGTGACAGACATTAAATTATTATTTCATTCACCTTTATTCTGTCAAATAAAATTTGTTATTAAAAAATATATATTGAGTAGAAACATTGAGTTAATAAATATATAAGAAATCATTCACTTCTAACATCATTCTAACGTAATGCAAATCTTGCTATGTGACACGCTCGTAAATTCAGCAAGAAATATTTTATTGGCAATAAATAATTTGAGAAATATCCAATCATGTGATACGTAATTCAATACAATACCCATAAATATAGAGAAAAAAATATTTTGTATAAGTAATAAATATATATTTCAATAGTTCATTATAAAATTCATTTGAACATTAAGTAATCGATATTCTTATTGCAGAAGAACCCACTTATTACTTCGATAGCGCAACTTTTAATGCATTGGTTATAGCTGTAACGGCGCGCGTGATGAAGAAAGAAAAGCAGGTTACAAATGACAAAAGTCGATTGAGATGCTGAATTAATTCTGAGCACTAATTTAATTTAATTATGTTCTTTTTTCAGATCCATGTCAATTATGTAATATTAATTTCTTTTTCTCTCTACAGTTACTAACAACTTTCTGAATTTTGAATGGAATTTGTTTCTAATGTCGATAATTCTACGTATTTTTCCACATATAAATTTGTCTTTTGCTAACAAAAAATTTATTTACTGCGTAAAATAAAAAGTAACAATGATAACTCAATGGATCCTTGGTTTCATACTAAACAAATAGTAATCAGATTTAAATTGACTTATGCGCGTTTTGCAATTTTATTTTCTCTTAAATCCTTGTTCTCACAAATCAAGAAGTTTTCGGTAATTATTCTTCGATTGAGTAATTTTCCGGCAGACAATAATGCTGACGGCAGTAATAATCTTGCCCATTCTTCTCGTGACACCACGTTCCATCTGGAAAGTATGGATCGACACCTAATTCGAGCAATTCCTGACGTGGTGTGTAGAAATAGAATATACTATATTTAGCAGATATTTTTTCTTCTCGTTGACAGTATATGGTGCAGGCTATCCACGGTTTCCCAGCGTCATGAGAGTTTTGCTGTCCTGGCCCAATTTCCGGTATGTAGTTAAAATATACTTTGTACTTTGTTTTCAATTTCAAGCTGAACTCAGTGCATTTTGAAGCAGTATATTCGTCAATCGTTTTGCGTTCTTCAGTGCAAAGTCTGGAGTCATTGCACAGAACCACGTCGTAATATGGCCCATTACAACTAGCCGTTTTATTAAAACCATGTTTGCAAGAACGTCGTTTGATTACCACGCCTTTCGATTTTGTCAAGCAATCGCTTTTATAGGAGTCTTCCTTCCATTCACTCCAGTTATCTTCTTCACAATATGGGAGAGGTGGTTCGATTACGGGCACGCATTCTCCGCTGCGACATTCTTTCTCGAGTGCACAATTAGTTCCTGAAAAATTCAATAAATTAAAAACTAAAGTATCTAATTTGATAAAAAAACATACCATCTAGCGCTGGTCCTGCGAAAAAATATTTATTCTCGTGAGGCGTTTCGCATTGTAAGACTTGACAAATATCATGCAACGTGACTACGTTTGCATCTTTGTCTCGCAAAAATAATTGACATTGTGCTTTGGCAGTCCAGTCTCTTCCGGGTAAATTGTGATAACGTGAATGGTCCAATCCATCTTCGAGACTTTCTTGTCTTGTGTGATCGCGAAGACACGATTGTACTTTCCACAGTTCTTTCGCAATGTTACGACTACACTCGGACCATGCTATCTGGCCCCGACGGTATTGCAAATCTGCCATCATGTATTTGCCTTTCGCACACGTCGAATCAAAAGAGTCATTATCGTGATCCATTCCTAATCTTTAGAACAAATAAATTATTTTTACAGAGAAATATGCTTCATTTACAATAATGTTATAAACATTGTAGTTTCTAAGAAGTTTTATACTTAAAAAATAAAAATCTTAAAAATTTCTTATATAGTTTTTATCTTTTAGTTGCACTAACAAGAAAATTTTTTAAATAAATATTATGTACTTAATTTATATGTAAAAGTAATATACATAAACATACAGATGGCCGATTTCATGTGTGAGCAGCAGTAAGAGACGTCGCAAAACCCGAGAGTGTGTTCTTATTTGTAGTACCGATTTCTACTACGGCGCACGACAAATAGCGGGTACACGAGTCATTGACATAAGCTCTTCCTATGGTGTCATAATACTTTTGTGCGTTTTTTATGTCATAAAGATCTATTCCGGTTAGGTAAAGGCCAATGTCCCAGTGATGGGGATTATTGTCTTTTAGAGGATTTTGATTTGTCGCGTATTCGCAGAACGAAGAGAACAATCCATCTTCTTTGCTGACAAAATTTGACAAAATTGACAGTTGTTTTTCCATAATTTTCCATCGTACCAACGATATATCAACAGAAGCACCGAAACTTGGATGATGGAACAAAGCTTGAATTTGGTTCACGTATGCTAGTATCATATTCCGTAACTTATCCTCATCATTGTCCAGAATAGGCATGTACAAATGATACGCTGCTTTGTCGAAGAAAACGGCAAGTTCTATGGTTAATTTCTTTCGCGAATTATCGACGTTTTCTTTTTTAGAAATCATTGTTTTTGCTTGATCTTTAAGACATATTTTTTCTTTCCAGAGGTTTTTTATTTTGTTACGATTATCCTCCGACCATGTTATATTCCTTTCCAAATTGCTAGAACTTCGCTCTTGTGTTAATCCTAAACTGTAGAACAGAAAAATTATTTATCCTAAATATATCTTTGATTTTGCATCGTTTAAATAAAATATTTTTAAATATCTTATAATTTATTAATATCACATACCAAACAATTAAAGAATTAAATTTTTTAAAAATGACTGTTTACTTAGTGATTTTATTGTACAATTGTACAATTAAATAAATTTTATTATAAAATATTATTTATTTTTATTTTATACGCAAAACTAATATATCAAAATTTACAGACTGCCGATCTTATAAACGGCATCAACAGATGATGTGATTTCGGATGAATCACGGAATTCAACTATTGCGCAAGAGAAAAGCGGATCGCATGCGTCATTGGGGTAGGCTTTTCCCGTAATATTATAATTCTTCTCTGCTCGGTAATGCGTTTTAAATTTTACCATAACATTTTCATAAAGTTTTACTCCAGTTAAGTAAAGGGCAATATCCCAGTGATACAAATCATTATTGTCCGGAGAATTTAGAGAATTCGCGTATGTGCAGAACGAAGAGAGCAGTTCATCAGCGTTGCCATTAGAAACTGGCAAATTTGACGGCTGATTTCTCAAAATAATCAAACTTATTAACGTAATATTGATAAAAACATCCAATCTCGGACGATTAAAGGCAGCCTGGATACGATTCCCATAGTCTAATATCATATTATGTAACTTTACGTAATTGTTCTCCACAATTAACATGGACATATTATATGCTGCTTCGTCGACAAAAACGGCCAGTTCTATAGTTAAATTTTGTCGCGTGTTATCATTGTCGATGTTTTCTTTTTTAAAGGTTTTCTTTTTAGAGATCATCGTTTTTGCTTGATCTCTAAAACATATTTTTTTTTCCAGAAGTTTTTTATTTTGTTACGACTATCCTCCGACCATGTTATGTTCCTTTCTAAATCGCTAGAACTTTGCTCTTGTGTTAATTCTAAACTGTTGAACAGATAACTTATTAATTTTAAATATATGTATTACTTTGCAGTGTTTAATTGAAATATTTTTAAAATTTAATAATTTATTAATAGTTTACATAATAAATAATTAAAGAACAACATTTCTTAAAAATGACTTTTTTTGTTGATTCTATTGTCCAATTGTACAATTACATAAATTCCATTATAAAATATAATTTATTCTTAATTTATTTGTAAAACTAATATAAAAAACTTACAGATTGCCGATATCATAAATAGCATCAACAGATGATGTAATTATCGATGGATCACGGAATTCTACTATTGCGCAAGAAAAACGCGTAGAGCATGCGCCATCGTGATAGGATTTTCCTGCAATATTATAATTCCTTACTACTTCGTAATGATTTTCATATTGTACTATAGTATTTTTAGAAAGTTTTACTCCGGTTAAATAAAGAGCAATATCCCAGTGGTACGGATTATTATCGTCCGGAGAATTTAGAGAATTCGCGTATGCACAGAACGAAGGGAGCAGCTGGCCAGCGTTGCCGTCAGAAACTGGCAAATTTGACGGCTGTTTTCTGAGCATAATTAAATGTATTAACGTAATATTGATAAAAACATCCAAACTCGGACGATTAAAGGCAGCCTGGATACGATCCACATAGTCTAATATCATATTCTGTAGCTTATCGTCATTGTGCTCCACAATCAACATGTATGTATAATATGCTGCTTCGTCAACGAAAATGGCAAGTTCTACGGTTAAATTTTGTTGCGCATTGCATACGTGACGTCGTTTCTGTTTAAACACGTACCAATGATAAAGATTTGAATCAACAAAATATTCCGTTAATCTTTTAATAAAATGAGGTTTGCCAAAAGAAAGATTAGTTTCTTCTCTAAAATCGTCGATTAAGCACATAGACGTGAACTCGTTCCAAGGCCGAATCTCTATCGTGTAGTTTTCCACAATAATAAATCCTTCCTACTTTTAGAAAACATATATTGTTTTTTACGTGCCATACTTGTATTTAAAATGAAAAGTATTACAGTATACAAGTAAAAACATAAAAATTTTTAAACTGTCTGTTTTTCATATAATATTACTGACCAATCCATGTTCATGACAAAAGTTGATGGCTGCAGAACTGATACGATTTTCATGATAATAATAGCAATGACTTGATACGTTTAATTCCAACAATTTCTGTGTAACGCTTTTCGCATTATATTTCCATTCTTTGAACACAGGCGATACAATTCTATCACTTCTCCGCAGATTCAGTTGAATCAATCGTCCGAAAACTTTCAGTGTTATTGGTATCTGTAAATTGAATGACAGTTATGAAAAAAATTGGATAATTCTCGAATAATGACGGTCGAGAACAAATAGAAAAATTCTATAAAACGTACATACCTCCTTTGCGTCTGTCGGGTTCGATGCCGGCAGTAATATTGTTTCGATATCATTCGTGATATGCGCGTATGTTTTATTTAGTAAGATTATTATCACGAAATTCAATAAAGAAAACATTTTATTTTTTTAGAGTCTTCAATTTTACAATATTAATTATATAATTTGTTTACACGTATTAGCACTGTCGCATTCGGTATACCTGATATGATCGCGAATATAACTCGAACTGGCGCATGAGGAATATCTTTCGTATAGTGTGACATCTATTATACGTGTATATTTTGTCTTTGCTACACTGTTAAATTTGTTGTGTTAAATTTCACCATATTTGAGTCATTTTTAACCACCCCTATAGGTCGCCACTGCTCCTACTTAATATGTTGTTAATTTGACTAAAACAATAAAGTTAAATAATTTAATTCAAAAAATGTATTAAATTTGACTCAAGTTTAATTTATTATTTACTACGTGCATGTGTTAATTTCAACCTTTGACTTAATAAAAAATGACTTTTTATTGTTTTAATTTATTAATATCGCTAACCTATAACATGTGTTAAAAGGTACTCAAATATGGATTAAATGTAATTATTATTCTTATCGTTAGTAAATATACGGTAATAGTTTAATTAGATTCATATTATATTTCAAATTTCAGTTATATTTCAAAATACATACAGGCATATATTTATATAAAACACTATTAAAATATGCATTGTAGACGTTGCATAACGCTCAACGTTATATAAATTTTCCAGCTTATATCATATATCTTTGGTAGAACATATTTTATTTCTTAGACATATATAATAGTTTTCATCATGAACAGTAAATGACTTACGTGCACAATAAGTTCGAAAATCATACAACGCTGATTTCTCTACATATATATACTTTTTTGAATAATGCACAACATAAGCATGAAAATGATCTTCAAAACCAAGTGTTAAAAATAAATGACAATAAAAATATACAGTAATATTAGACGAAGATACAATCTGAGATATAACGCCAAATAATGGTAAATTTCCATCAAACGAAATTAATAAAACGTCACCAATTTTGTACATTGTACTCCGAATTTTTACTGATTTTGCAGTTGTAATTATTGAATCAGCAATCAAATTATCCGTATGACATGCTTCTTCCAAGAAAAGCTTGTGGTTTTCCAGCAAAACCACTTTTGTAGTAGTAGTGGAATTTAACATTGCTATATTAGCTGATTCTCCAAAACACTTTATCCCTTCTAAAATTGCAGCTTGTTTAATTTGATTCCTATTTGCGAGCGTTTTACATACATTAATAAAGTTACCACTAGAAGCAGCCATTTTTTTAAAATTATAATGTCTGCTTTCGTTACGCATGTTCCAATATCTGATAGGAGGACCTAATTCTCTTATAAGTCGGGGATAATGCACGAGAAAATGTTGTTTTGGTGTCAACCGTCGCTCAGGAAAAAGGAATAAGAATAAATTATGATGATCATGAATTATCTCTTGCAATAAGAATGTTTCACTTATTGATATACGTGGTGCCATAACAATATCGAGAATATTTAATATAAGGAGATATAAATGCCAATAATTATTATCTGTTGGAATTTTGTCACCTATGAGTAAAGGCAATATTCTAATGAAGCACCACATTTGACTCGCGCTTTGTCCAGTCGAACCACCAGGCTTATTCAGTTGTTCTCTTGT